AGATCCAGATCAATGTTATGGTATGGGCTGATTTTGAGCTGCATCTGCTAATGTGTCAGGCCCTCTCCCAAACTTAAGTAGAGTGGGTGAAACCTGGGAGAGCTGGGCAGTGCAGAGAGTGCAAAGAGAAAAATTCTAGGAAAATTGCCTTAAATTGTCCCCAGTCAGTGCTGAACTTAAACTGTCTGCTAACTGGATGGAAAAAAAAGGTGTCTTGTATAAATGCCTGGGTGTAAGATGTGGAAGCTGGAGATAAGACTGATCTAAGAAGCCAAGTGTTGCTATTGTCTGCCTGAATAAAAGAGAAATATGTGTTTAATAAACATAAAAATAGGAGTGAGTTGGAGAGACAGCTTCTGAGGCAATCTCTAAGTTTCTTGGGAGACAGAATATGGCAGGAGGCAAGAGAAGATGCTTCTTCAGCATGTCTTTCAGAGTCCCTTGAATAAGCATAGCTTATGCTCTGCTCTGCCTCTTGTATCAAGTAAAAAAGTGACTATAAGGTCTGGCTCTGTTACTCATGATTATAGGAGTAGAAATAGATGGGTTGTGAACTGTGCTGAATGCCTTTTTGTGTGAACTCCTGTCCCAGCTAGTAAACTCTCACAGGGTCCCTGTGAAGTACAGTAGCGAACCTTGAGATGTGACCAGGCTACTTACAACTGCAGTTTGTTTTGCAGAAATTGCGAGGCTCCAGATTCTTGGAAATTTTGATGAAATCTTGGAAACTCAACCCCATTACTGGTGTAGCTGTATATATGTAGGCAGCTGTATCTGTAGGTAGAGAATCTGGGGAAAGAACTAATCAACAATGTCATCCTCAGTATTTCATTCCACATGGCATATCATCTACCTATCTGAGAATAAAAACCAGAAGTCTTCTGTTTTCCAGAATTTTATCTCTGTTCCTAAGCTGTTAGAGCTCTCCATGGGTTGTTCTCCAGTCAGTTCTGTCCTGCCTTGTTGTTATCTTTCCACTTACCATAACACTGCAAGTTGGTTTTGCCATCTGGACCCTAAGCAAGTACCAGTAGCAAAACTTCATCTCCTCTTGTCAAGAAGCTGGAACAGCCTGCCCTAGAGTTTGTTGCTGAACACTTTGGCATTGTGAAGTGTGCAGAGCATGGCCAATTGGCATCTTAAATTTAGGTCTGAAAAATATTATCCGTTAAGGATAAGAAAGACAATTAGTGATTATAAACAAAAAATGCTATTGTGCAATGTTTCTTCCCAGCTCAGTTGCAAGAAATTTGAAAGCAGCAAATGTTTATTGATGTTCAGGAAATTTTTAATGAGAATAATAAACAAGCTCCATTTGCAAAATAATTTATAAACCCCAGTCTTTTTCCCTTATGGTTTCTTATCTTTAATAGCTTATGTGTGTGTTTTCTTCTACTCAATGATATTGGAAAAGATTCTTTTATTTTTTATTCATGATTTCTAAAGTCCAGCTCTCTTTATATAATTTTTCAGAGTTATTCTTGTCTGAACCCTGGAGCAGGAAAATTACTATGTGATCCTGGGTTAGGATAGGGGATCACATGCTTTGCAAAGATGCTGCTGTTGTGCTCAGAGTAGCTGCCACAGTCCTTGTCTTACCGTAGCTATCACATGGAGGACAACAACATTATTAATTCCTTAATATTTGGTATGTTGCGGTTATTATAGGAGAGGTCTTTTTAAATGATCCTCAACTCATGCCAGCTCTTTTAAACCTCATCTGTCTCTTGAACACTCGCTCACAAATATCCTATCATGGAGATCTGTGTATAAGTTAAAGCTTAGCTACATGTTGCTTAGTTATGCAGAGGGATTTTACCTTGTATCAGAAAAACCCAACAATCACTTTTCTTGAGGTCAAGGAAAGTAATTTTTATGTGAACTACTCACAAGTAGCAACTACGACATAGTCAAAAGAAGTCTGGAATTAGACTGAACTGTCAAAATGTTTCTCACATATCTGTTTTCTTGAGAAATCACAGACCCCCAAATTATGGTGATATGCAAAATATGCCCTATAGATTTTTTTTTTCCATGTCCAGAGGGCCTGGATTTATGTATATCTTACTGTTGGAGGCAGTAAGTCTAGGTGAAAAGAGCATTTCTGTAATGTTGGAACTCATTCATTTTATTGACAGCCTCCCCCTTGCCCCTGTAAATAGTAGTTTTAGTTAAAATTATTATTGTTATTTTTACCCTTGTTGAGAAAGTAGATGTAAATATTAAAACAATATCTTGAAATACTCCCTCACAGCTGTGCTTTTGAATGCATACTTCTTTCTTTCATATTTCTTATGTGGTATGATTTCTATTGCTTTTTAGAAACCTTTATGCTTGTTATGAATGTCCATACACTGAAGTAGTTGCAGCCAATTTATGTATCTCTGTCTTCTTTGGTTAAGCCAATTTTCTCTTTCTGGACATCTTGTGTTTTGGCAGGCAAGGCAGTATCTTCTCAGCTAGGACTCTTGTTTTTCCTTTTCTCTTCCTCCTGCCACAA